ATTGATAGGAAGTTGTCTGCTATCATAGTAGATAATTGTTCTACTAATGATGTCATGATTGATATGTTGTTAGGAAAACTTTCTAGTGATTCATTATGGCTAGAAGGTAGCTTGATACACATGCGTTGTTCTGCTCATATTTTAAACTTGATTGTTAAGGATGGGTTGGAGGTAATAGGTGATAGCATTGAGAGGGTTCGAGATAGTGTTGCTTAATGGGTAGCAACAACAAAAAGGAAGGAAAAATTTGAAGAAACTGTTAGACAATTAAAAATTCCAGTTTTAAAAAAGTTGTGCCTTGATTGCAAAACTAAATGGAATTCAACTTACTTAATGCTTGATGTGGCTTTGCATTACAAAGATGTATTCTTTCGTTTGAAACAAAGAGAGTCAAAATATAGATGTTTGGCACTTGAGGAGGATTGGGCAATGGCAAAGAAAATTTGTGAAAAGTTGGTTATGTTTTATGAAATCACGGAAATGTTCTCATGGAATAAATATCCAACAACTAATATTTTATTCCCTAAGATTTGTGAAATTAAGATTGCATTAAGGAGTTGGTTAACTTGTGGGAATGTTGTGATAGAAGCAATGGCAGCATCAATGCTGGAAAAATTTGACAAATATTGAAGTGAGGCTCATGGAATTATGGCTATAGCAACGTTTTGGATCCTAGATACAAAATGCAGTCGGTGAAATTTTATTTTTTAGAAATTTATGAAGATAAAACTCAAGAGCAAATGCAAAAAGTTATGAAACTTTGTTATGACTTAGTTGATAGGTATCAATCTAAGTTTAACCAAAATGAGAAAAATAGGTCAACAACTAGCTATATTCCATTGATAGCCTCCTCTTCAAGTGTTAACAAGGCTGACTTTGTTCACAAATTCAAGTCATTCCTTTCTTCTAAAGGTAATACTCCAATTGTGAAATCTGAGTTGAATACATATTTGGAAGAATCAGTGGTTCCAATTGAGACAAAAAACGGTTTTGATATTTTGGGTTGGTGGAAGGTTACTGGGATTCGATTTCCTACATTACAAATGCTTGCTAAAGATGTCTTTGCCATTCTCATATCCATTGTTGCTTTAGAATCGGCTTTTAGTACTGGTGGAAGAGTTGTAAGCTCACATCGTAGCAAGCTTAATCCAGATACAATAGAAGCATTGATGTGTCTTCAAGATTGGTTAAGAACGGATCTCAAAGGTATTAAGTTTATGTTTCTTTTATTTTTTTTTTTATGTATATTTCTTTTGTTCTTTAAATAAGTAGTTAAATTTTAATTTAAATTTTCATGTTTGAAATAGGTTCTTTGGATGATATATGTTTCTTTACTCAGAATGAGGATGTGGATTGTGATGAAGATAATAATTCAGAGGTAAATATACATGACCCTTTTTATACTAATAACATAAATAGTTTTTCTATAAATATGTTAACATAAAGTATTTGCTAATTATATTGTAGGTCTTTTTATGAGCAATTGTGGATTTTGAGAGCTAAAGTGTTTTGAGTTGGCTCTTGAGTTGGCTCTTGGCTGCTTCCCTTTATGCTGAATGTTGGTTTAGTCATTTTATTTATGTTGGGTTGATTTTTGCTTACATTTGGAACAAGTATGTTGCTTTATGTTGGATTAATTTCTATCTATATTTGGAACATGTTGCTTTATGTTGGATTAATTTCTATGTGGAACAATTTTGTTGATTTAATTATTTATGTTAAATTAATTTTTATTTATGTTTGATGCAAAAAGTATATATTTTGATATTAATTGGTGGGGAATGGGGATGAGAGGCAAAATTTGCCTCCCATCAAAAATCTCCGCAGGGATCCCCGTCCCCATCCCCGCCATTCGTGGGGACAGGGATGGGGACAGACTCCCCGGCCCCACGGGGCCCCGTTGACATCCCTACTCTCCACAGGGCTTAGGGGATTTTAGGCCCATATCTCTAGTTGGATGTTTGTATAAAATAATGTCTAAACTCCTTGCAAACAGATTGAGGAAAGTGATGCCATCTATCATTAGCCAAAACCAATCAGCATTTGTAGGAAGGAGACATATTGCAGATGATATTGTGATTGCTAATGAAGTTATTCACGAAGCTAAGAAGAGGAAGAGGCCCACCTTGATTTTCAAAGCTGATTTTGAAAAAGCCTATGATAGTGTCAACTGAAACTTTCTTGATTTGATGATGGAAAAGTTCAGTTTTTGTTGGAAATGGAGAAGATGAATCAAGGAATGTTTATCTACTTCAACTGTTTCAATTCTGGTGAATGGTAGTCCCACAGAGGAATTCAACATGAAGAAGGGACTGCGATAAAGTGATCCATTAGCCATATTCTTATTTCTTTTGCTTGCAGAACCACTCAATGGGCTTGTTCTCAAAGCAAAGGAGGAAAATATCTATAAGGGAGCGAAGGTGGGAACAAAAGGATTGGAGTTCACACATCTACAATTTGTCGATGACTCTATTTTCTTCTATGAGGCATCAGATCTAAATATTAAGGTAATTAAGGGAATTCTTTAGACTTTTGAGCTTGTTTTTGGACTCAAGGTGAATTTCTTTAAAAGTGCCCTTTATGGAATTAATGTGAAGATAGAGGATATCAATGATTGGGTTGATTCTCTTAATTGTGTGATGGGTTCTATTCCATTCAAATACCTCGGAATCCCGGTCGGTGCAAGCCCGAGAAACTTGTCAACATGGACACCTATGGTTGACTACTTGAGAAATAAACTGTCAAATTGGAAATGTGAATCTTTGTCCTTCGATGGTAGGATTGTTCTCTTGAATGCTGTCTTGTCAAGTATCCAAGTATATTTCTTTTTACCATGAGAGCCCTAAAATGGTAATTAACCTTCTATCTCTTATCCAAAGAAGATTTTTATGGGGGGGGGGGTAAAGAGGGAGATAGGAAGATAGCATGGGTTAGTTGGGATAAAGTATGTACAAGTAGAAATGAGGGAGGATTAGGTGTTAAGGATCTGGATCATTTTAACAAAGCACTCTCAGGAAAGTGGCGTTGGAGATTGGTGATGGAAAAAGATGCTTTATGGAATAGGGTAGTTGAGGCAAAATATGGGATTCATAGGAGAAGGGATTGGGAGGG